CATTTATTTTTATAAAACACTAACTTCAAAAACAGAAGTTTGAAAAATGGACTTTTTCAAATCCCTTTACTTTCACTGATAGACTAAAATAGTAAGCAGCTTACTTTTATCTCACTGTACTCAACTATACACCTTTTTGCGGCAGTTCCTTGCCAGCTAAGTCATTTAGCGCTCTCAATCTATTTAGATAAACTAATTTTTTGTTATATACTGCTTCATCCGAAGACTTATTTCCTCCTAAAAAATTTATTACTAAGTCCACCTAAATAATCAACTTTCCTCAGCAAGGTGAACTTAATTTTTTAATTATTTCCTGTAAGCAAGCAAAGATATCCCACATTCCCCACGTTCAGTTGCAAATTCTGGAATTAGCCACTCTTGACAAACTCAGCTTATCATTTAAAACTAGCGAGAACTCCTAATTGTTATTACCCCACACTTTTTCAAGTTAGACAGGCCCGCAACCTGGTCACTTCTAAAACGTCAAAGAACAAAGAGCAAGAGCTGTAAAGAAAATAATGACCAGAGAAGTGAAAGGAGAGCAAATACTGCGTACTGAGTGATGAGAATTTGAAATAATGAGCAATATGTGGTCGGTGTCTTAAAACCTTCTTCCAATACCTAGTAGAAATCTGTTGTACGCGTCTGTTCCATTTTGATACACTAATGCGCCCATATAAATGTGATACTTCAATCAGTCAAAAATAATCTTTAAAACAATACCTAAATATACCTCAGTATTATACCACAAGCATCCCCCATTTTTACGAAACATTAGCTTAAGATTTCTGCAAACCAAAAAACTCCAACGAGCAGTGCGATAAACTCTTTCGGCTTCTCCACTTTGTTTTTATTAGATCAAAATATAAATATGCCATAAGCTGAAAACACAAAAACAGTATGAATATGTCCTCACAACAGTGATAATCGTAATTTTAAAATAATGGTCACCATACTTCCGGGTAACAACTGTGTACCTGGTTTTTCTGAAGTAATTTTGGTATTCCAAATGAATTCAACAACAGCTATCCTCCAAATGAATCTGTTTTGAAATTCTTCACTACCATCTGCCATCTCAATAATAAGTGCGAAATCAGCAGAAGAATGTAGCCAGTATATAAATAGATAAATAAACATATATATGTATATATATATATATATATATATATATAT